CATGGCGCGCACTTGAATTAAGTTACGCTACGTTAGATTGTACGCGCAGGCCTGATAAGAGGCGTTGTCACTGCATAGTGCAGACGGCCGTGGTCCGTTGCTTCCTTATCGGGACAAGCGGTATGCATAGATCCTCCTGCTCGCGACTTGCTCGCAAAAGGGCGCGCTCTGGGGGCGAGCTGCGGCCGGTGCTGGCGAGGCGCGCGGTGGCCGGCGCGCCTGGATCCGGTCCCGCACCGGCTGGTCGAGGGCGCGCGCGGCGCCGACCACAGCGTGCAGCGCGCCCAGCCCACGGCCGAGCTCCCGCACGGCGTCAATGTCGGCCGCCGCCTTGGCTTGCTGCAGGCGCGCGAGCTGAGCGGCCTTTGCGTCGCCGACGTCCACGCAAATGGCGTCCAGCTCGGCCGCGAAGGCAACCTCTCCCTCGGTGCGGACCTACCGTGAAGGGTGCGGTGCGGCCTCGGTGCGCGCTGCGTCGCGGTGGCTGCTCCAGCGGGAGGGCAACGCGAGGGCGAGGCGCGCCGACTGCTCGATGAGCAGTGCCACCGATGGCGGCTCCGGCCAAAAGTGCGCGGCCGAAGCGGAGCCGTACCGCCTCTCCGCCTCGCGGCGGCCCTCGGCGTGCAGGCTCTCGTCCGAGAGCTCGGCCGCCTTCTTCACCTCGGCGAGGAGCGCCAGCCACCCCGGCTCGCGCTCGGCCGCGCGTTGTCTCAGCTCGGCCAGCCGCTCCGCAAACGCTGCTGGCACCGGATCCGCCACCTTCTGCTTCTTCCGGCTCGCCGTCATGCCACAGAGACTGAGTCGTGTGCGGGCTCTCAGTGTGGCGTGGCCCGATCATTTTCTTTCTTTCAATTATTCTCTCTCTCTTTCTACCTACCTACCTACCTCTCTCTCGCACGACCTTCAACCAGACCGGCCTCCCCTGCAAGATCAGCGCCCGCTGCCGCCACGCGCCGTGCGTCAACTACGAGGAGCTCCTCGGCACCGCTTTCAAGGGCACCGTCTATCTACGAGCGGATGCCGAGCGCAGTTAGGCTCGGCACGAGCCGCGGGCGGCGCGGCGGCCGCGGCCGCGGCGGCGGCGGCGGCGAGGTCAAGAGCACCAAGAAGGATTGGGCGAGCTTCGCGCGCGGCCTCGCCCGCTCCCCCTACCATGTGGGCATGGCGGCCCACGCCTTGAGTCCAACGAAGCCTCCCTCTTCGAGGGGAGCGATGACGAGCTCTAGAAGCGGCCGCCGAGCCCTCCCCGCGGCGCAACTCTAGCAGCGCCGCGGGCAGGGCGGCTCGCATAGCGCCCGCGCGCGTTCGAGCGAGCACACACACACACACACACACACACACACACACACACACACACACACACACACACACACACACACACACACACACACACACACACACACACACACACACACACACACACACACACACACACACACACACACACACACACACACACACACACACACACTTCTACCTCCCCAGAAATCCCGAGGAGGCGCACAGCGTAGATATGCCTTGTGTTGCTGTGTGCTGCACGCCCTGCGAGCGGGGCGGGGTGCGCACTGTCCCTCTGTGTTCGTGCGTCGCCCATCTCTCCTGGAGATGTCTGCTCTATTTATTTATTTATTACCTCTCTCTCTCTCTTCTCTCTCTCTCTCTCTCTCTCCCTCTCTCTCCCTCTCTCTCCCCTTGTGAAGGTCTTCAGTGACCACTCACAAGCTGTTCCAAGGCCCGACAGAAATGTACTGTCAAAACTTTGTTCAAACAAAAGTCCTGGCCCGCGGCCCCCACACCCACAATGACTATCAATCCAGGCTGCGGGTGAAGGGCAAAACCGCGCCGCTGCAGAACGGTTTTTGCAAAACCGCGCCGCAGCGGTACGAAACTGCGCAGATGCAGTCCAGGGGTGGTAAGGACACTATGTGTGTGTGTGTGGCCGTAGACTAGACGGCTGCGCGGTCGTCGGTCTTCAACAGCCCCCCATCCTCGCATCGGGTAGCGAGGCTGAGGATCTGAAGAAGCTAGACGACTCCTACATCTCCTACTATCGCGCGCACAATTGCGCAGCCTCCTCAAGGGTGGAGGACGAACATACAAGTGACTCGGGGAGCTCCAGGAGCGCCCATACTGCCGGTTGTCGACTACATTTGATGAAGGGGAAGTCGGCGTTTCCCCTCTGTGCCGTCCTAGGCGGTGTCGTTCATGATCTCCTTGCGGAACGACTCGAACTCCTTGCGCGGGAGCGGCTTGGTGAAGAAGTCGGCGAAGTTCTTGAGGCTCTCGACGTACTCGACCTTGACCTCCCCGGACTCGACGAGCTCGCGAATCTTGAGCTCCTTGCGCAGGATGTGCTTCGTCTTGTCGTGCATGACCGGGTCCTCGGCGACGCGCAGCGCGGCCGTGTTGTCGATCTTGATGATGGTCGGGCCCTTGGGCTTGTAGCCGAGCGACGCGAGGAGCGAGCGCAGGTGGACCGCCTCGCAAGCCGCCAGCGTGCCGGCAGAGATCTCGGCCTCGAATGTCGAGAGGGAGATGTGACCCTGCTTCTTGGAGAAGTACGAGATGATCGCGGTGCCGATCTTGAAGGCGCAGCCGGAGGTGCTCTGGCGGGTGCACCAGTTCGCGTCGGAGCAGCCGAAGAGCTTGGGGTCGGTGACGCGCTCGTAGTGGAGGCCGAGGTCCTGCGTGCCGATGAGGTAGATGAGGCAGCGCTCGGCGGCGGCCTCGATGTTCGCGTCGGGCCAAGCCATGCAGCGCGCCAGCTGCGAGACGGTGTACTGGATGTCGGGGCGCGCGTTGGTGGCGAACATGAGGCTGCCGATGAGGCACTGGCAGCGCTGGAGGAGCTGCGGGTCGGGCGCGGTCTTCTTCTCGGCTGCGCTGATGACGATGGACGGGAGGTCCTTGTCCGCGGGCACCTTGTAGCCCGCGTGCGTGACGCCTGACGGGAAGAAGCGCGCGCGCAGCGTGTCGATGTACTTGCTGGCAGACAGCTTGAAACCGGTCTGCGTCTTGGTGATGTTGAGCCCGAGGAACTCGTGCACCTTTCCCTCGTGGACCTTGAGCGGCTTGCCGACGTGCTTGTTGAAGTGCTCGATGTACTCGTGCGCGAGCGCCCTGCCAGCGGTGGTCCCGGAGTGGAAGATGCCGAAGTCGTCCACGTAGATGACGACGATGAGTTTCGTGCTGTTGCGGGTGAGGACGAAGCAGCTCGGGTCCGCCTCGGACTGAACGAGCCCAGGAAACGCCTTGTTGATGGACTTGACGTGGTTCCACCAAGCGTTACCTGCGGACGGTGCGCCGTAGAGGTTGCCGACCTCGCACACCATGTCCTTCTCCTCGCCGGTGATGGGGTCGATGTAGCAGTACTCGGGCTTGCCCTTGAGCCCCTTCGGCATCTCGCAGTACCAGGTCTCGCCCTCCCCGCGCTCCGCCCAGGTGTACGCCATGGGCTGGTCGCACGTGATGAGTTCCATGTCCTCCTGCGCGGCCACGTTGAGCACGGTGCGGGTCGTGCCGTAGCGGACGACGCTCGCGAAGGTCTTGGTGAAGTCGACGCCGGGCCGCATCAGGTTGCCCATGACACAGCCGCGCCACTTGCACCGGCCGTCGGACTTCCGGGAGGCGATCTCCTTCAGCGGGAGGACGCGCACCTTGGCGGGGCGGCGCATGGGCTTGAGCGTGCCGTTCTGGATGAGGCCGAGGAACTCGGTGTCATACGCCTTGTACCACGCGTCGCGCAGCTTGGGGTCGCGGATGTTGGCGATGTCCTTGTAGTGCTTGGGCACGATGTGGATGAGGCACGCGAGCAGGACGAGTAGGATGGAAGCGCCGATGTACGGGCGAGGCAGCGCGGTGACGAACGAGGTGAACTTGACCCACAGCCCGCCGCGCGCCCGTGCCTCCGCCGCATTGCGCGCCGCCGTCTTGGCCTTGAGGATGGCGGGCGTGTCGGTGGGGTTGGAGTCGGGGAAGGTGTCCTCGACCTGGTCGGTGCCGACGCCAGCGACAAAGCCGCCGACGATGCCGTCCGGGTCGAACGTGCGGGTGACAGAGTCGGCCAGCGCCGCCCGCACCTCCTCGTGGTCGGTCACGGTGGAGTCCGACTTCTTGAAGGGGTCGTGCGGGAGGGTGCGGCCGGGGGACTTGGCGCACACCTTCTTGTACGAGGACTGGGCCATGCGCACCTTCGTCTCGTGGTCGATGCGGTCGGGGAGTTCCTCGAGCACCTTGGCGACAGGGACCCCCTTGCAGATGAGGTCGCCGATGCACTTGCCACCGTGCAACCCATTGCAGTGGGGGCACGGCTTGCGCCCAGCGGCTGCGCGGCCGCCGCGGTCCCCGCCGCCCTTGTCGGACTTGATCTGCGCCTGGAGAGCGGCGACCTGGGACTCGGCGGCCGCGAGCTTCTCCTTGAGCACGCCTTGCGAGGCAATCTCCGCCTCGAACGCCGCCTGCGCAGCCGCCTTGGCCTCGTTGGCGCGGTCCGCGTTGTCTTGGTCGAGGATGCCCTGCATCGCGAGCGTGGACGCCTTGAGGCCGTACGTCTTGCCCGATTGCGCGGCGAGTTGGCGCTGTATGCCGATCTGCACGCGCATGTTTGCGCCGAGCGTGGCCCCCTTGGCGGCGATCGCGTCGAGGATGTATTCCTCGATCACCTCGTCGGGGAGGTGCCACTGGGAGTCCTTGAGCAACTTGTTCGCCTGCTCGATGCCCGTCTTGAACTTGGCGAGGCTCGCGGACGTGAGGTCCTTGAGAGCGTCGGGGGAGTACGCCTTCTCGAGATCCGCGCGCAGCGCCTTCGTGCGCACGTTCTTGGAGTTCGTGTCCTCCGACTCGATGAGCGACTTGATCGCCGCGATGCCCTTCTTGATGTCGTCGTAGTGGTCGGCGTCCTCGTCCGCCAACATCTCGGCGAGCGTGTCGTCGTCCTTGACGGCGTTCTGCAGCGCACCGTAGAGTTGGCGCGACAGAGTCACCGACAGGTCCTTGAAGAACTTGTCGATCATGGCCGGGATGAGGCCGTCCGCAGTGCCGATGTTCTTGTAGCGCACGTGCAGCGCGACCGCCTCGGCCTCGCGCTCCGCGCCCGGCCGGATGGTGCCCACCTCGATGATGTCGAGGAGGTACTTGTGTTGCTTCGCCGCGGTCCGCAGGTTGCGGAACCACTCGTTGAACTCCCGCTCGGAGCTCTGTTTGTAGGCCGGAATCACCAGCTTGTCCGTCGACGACATGTTGTCGTAATGTCCCGGGGATCGTTGCCCCGCCGCCACCAACTGTGAAGGTCTTCAGTGACCACTCACAAGCTGTTCCAAGGCCCGACAGAAATGTACTGTCAAAACTTTGTTCAAACAAAAGTCCTGGCCCGCGGCCCCCACACCCACAATGACTATCAATCCAGGCTGCGGGTGAAGGGCAAAACCGCGCCGCTGCAGAACGGTTTTTGCAAAACCGCGCCGCAGCGGTACGAAACTGCGCAGATGCAGTCCAGGGGTGGTAAGGACACTATGTGTGTGTGTGTGGCCGTAGACTAGACGGCTGCGCGGTCGTCGGTCTTCAACACCCCTGTCTAAAGAAAGAAAGAAAACAGACTCAACAACGTCTCTCTCTCTCTCTCTCTCTCTCTCTCTCTCTCTCTCTCTCTCTCTCTCTCTCTCTCTCTCTCTCTCTCTCTCTCCCTATCTCTCCCTCTCTCTCTCTCTCTCTCTCTCTCTCTCTCTCTCTCTCTCTCTCTTCTCTCTCTTGTTCGCATCTCTCTCTCTCTCTCGCTCTCTCTCGCTCGCTGTACGACAACTGCGGCCAGCAGAACCTGAACCGGGCACTCAAGGCGCACCGCACGGCCGAAAAAAAGTCCGGACGACGCGGTGTTTTTTTCCTTTTTCAACAAGGCCAGTAAACATGCTGGACGAGAACGGCTCCTCCTACCAGGGCGCCCATGCCGAGCATGCCGAGTGGCTCGGCCACTGGGTCCAGACGCGGTTCGATGAGGAGGTTTTCGATCGGCTCCTGACCGCGCAGGGCGTGCCGTTCCCGCTGCGCCACCTCATGAAAACGTTCGTCGGCGAGCGGGTCGTCTCTGTCGATGAAGACGGCAATGTTGTGGTCATGAGCAAGAAGATCGGCTTCGATCTGATCAAGAAGATGTGGTCCAAGCTTATCGTCGGGGGCGAGCCGAGCAAGATGGAGGTGCTCGGCTACTGCGTCGAGGCGTCAGTGGCATGGGAGGAGGGAGGCGCGATGCTGGTGATATCCACTGTGACCTCGAGCAAAGGTGGGCTCTTCGGCAGTGCTTGGTCGGTGACGACGCGCGCAGAGCACCACCTCGTTGACGGCGAGCTCGTGTGTTCCGCCGACAGCGGCGACGGGGCGTACCGCGCCTGGTTCACCAGGCAACCTGAGCCGCATCGCGCCTTTGGCTGACTGTCCCTGCGCGCGCTCGGCTCCTGGCCCCTATATTGAGGCGACGGGTCGCTCCTCTCCCGCTGCCGCAAGTACGTAGGCCCCGGCTCGTGTGTGCCGGGAGGCTTTGGCGGAAGAGTGGTACCATCTACGTGCACGCCCGCCGTCTTGCGGTGGCATGTGAACTCACACCTTCTCCTGTCTGATTTCTTCTTTGTTATAACTTTCTGTGGAAATTGTGCGAAAGAAAGAAAGAAAGGGAAACAGACAACGCAGGGAGGGACGGCGGCACGGGGCGCGCGCGCCACCACACAGCACGCAGCACACAGGGATCGTTTATGGGCGTTTAACGAGGAGAGGATGTGTGTTGCTAGGTGCTTGCCGTCGCTCACCTTGGGCGTGCGAAAGTAAAGAAAGAAAGAAATTCGAGGCGGGTCCGAAATAGTTAGAGGCTGCGCAGGCCTCCCCCGGTATTTTATTGGTCGATACACGATACGAGTAGAGCGGCATCATATGAAAACCCCAGAACGGGTCGGACACCGTCCCACCGTCCGTCGCCTCGCTACAGACGTCACGCCCCCGCGCGTGGGGTGGCGAGAGGAGCCGTCGTGCTGCTGCGCTGGCCGCTGGGCGCGTGTGTGGGCGCGGGGCGCCCCCCCCCCCCCCCCGCGCTGAGCGCTGTCAGCGGTGGGCCACCTCTCGGCTCACGCCGCTGACCCAAGCACCCAACTGCATGCGTGGCGGCGCCGGCGGCGCAGTCAGAGTACAGAGGAAGGAGAGAGTGTGCACCTAGCTCCTAGGGGTAAAGCCGTAGGCTGTGCGCAGCGCGGCCGGGCGACGGGGTGAGAAGGCTCGCCAAGCACCGCTCAGCGGCGAGGGGGAGGGCGGCGGCGAGGCGCGAGGCGGTGGCAGCGGTGGTGCGGACGGCGGGATAGTACAGAGAAGGAGAGAGTGTGCACAGGCTGACCCACAGGCTGTGCGCGCAGCGCGCCGCCGGGCGGGTGAGAAGGCTCGCCAAGCACCGCTCAGCGGCGAGGGGGAGGGCGGCGGCGGCGGCGGCGAGGCGCGAGGCGGTGGCAGCGGTGGTGCGGACGGCGGGATTGACAGGGGAGGCGGCGGCCACGAGCGGAGCGGCGGCGAGAGGGGGGCAGCGGCGAGGCGCCGGCGAGCGAGGCGCCCGCGCCATGTCAGAGGGACGCCGCCGCGAGATGGAGGGCGGCGGTGACGGAGGCGAGGGGCGAGGCGGCGGCGGCGGCGGCGGCGGCGAGAACGGCGGCACCGAGTTTGTCTCGGTGAGCGGAGCGGCGGCGGGAGGAGGAGCAGCGCGGCGCTCTCGCTGTTGACGGGAGCGCTTTTGAGCCTGGGAGCCCATGTCACTGCGACCGGCGTGCCCGGGAACGGAGATCGCGCGCGCGCCGCATTCACGACGCGCGCGCGATCTTCGCGGAGTCGGGTCCCCAGAGGGAAGCGGTCTTTTCGGCCGACGTCCAGCGGCGCGCAAGGAAGCAGGCGCAGCGCGGCGGTGTCGCGCTGCATGGGCCAGCAGGGTGCAGTGGCGAGGGGCGGCGGGCTCGGACGTCCACCGAGTCGCTCCGCGCGGCAGGCGGAGCGCGCGCGCGGGCCAGGAGGCTCTCGGCAG